AGGAGGAGGAGGAGGAGGAGGAGGAGAAGAGGAGGAGAAGAAGAAGAAGAGAGGAAGGATGAGGAGGTGGAGGAGGAGGAGGAAGCAATAGAGGGTAAGCAGACCCGTGGACAAATCTAACAAAACGATGAGTCAGCGTCTGTGTCTGGATCGATGAAGGCACGGCGGTGACAAAGTGAGGCCAACAAGTCGGATGAAAATCGCGGGGAGGGAAAAATAGAACGGTTCACCGTAGAGGTCCGAAATTGTTAGTTTTACTTTTACTATCAGTTTTAAGGTATTTGCAACACAATTAGGTCAGATACGTACCGAAGATTAGAGGTATAACAAGGGTGTACAAACACAAAAAAGGAGGAGAGATATAAGGACAATAGAATGTTTGATGGGAGCAAAGTAGCAAACCACACCAGAGCACCCACCAACCACCTACTTAAACATGGGTATTGAAAAGGCGCAAAACAAAACCAAAACCCCAAAACAAAAAACAAAACAACAAAAGACCCCCCCAACAAAAACCAACCAAAACAAACAAAAATAAACAACAACAACAAGCGGATAGGAAAAAAAGTTAGAGGGGCTGACAGCCGACGTACAGATATTATACCAACAGATCAAAGTGAAGAATACTTGACCTTTGCACAGAATGAACCTTTCAAATAGCGAGAAGGAAATAAGTGAAGAAAAGTTCTACTAGCGAAGATGCATTATGGCAAAAGCAAATAATATATTATACGCTCGTGGGACACCTGAAAATTAACGCGTGTACGAACGTATTAAAGGAAACACATATTATAGGCAGTTTTAGTACGAGTTTTACGGCACTTGCAACACAATACGGTCATATAAATGCCGAAGATAACAGGTATTACAAGAACGTAACAAACACAAAAAAGGAGGAGAGATAAGGACGACAGATGTTTGACAGGAAAGAATGAGCAAACAACACAAGTACACCCATCAACCACCCACACAGACGAATAGAGTGAGTGGGCAAACGGCGGAGACGAAACTCAGGGAAGTGCTGTAGAAATACGACACAAATTTTCTTTCTGCACCAACCTAATGGAGAAGGGAAACAAGAGTCTGGACAAATGAGGCAGAATACAGAAATGATGCGGAAACGGCTTAAATAATGAACCGAATGTTGAGCATAACAATA